CCCGCGTCTCCTGCATCGGCAGGCGGACTCTCAAGCACTGCGCCACCAGGGAAGCCCTGCTGGTAGGTTTTGAAGCTTGACTCAGATACTGGCGCCGGGCGCTTTCATGTATATTATTACATCATTAACCCCTGCAGCTCCTTATGGAAGGTTAACTGAGAGGATGAGTGACTTGCTCACAGGCTTAGGATCCTCAGGCTGGGTCTGAATTCAGGCCTTTTCACTTTAAAGCTGGGGCTGACTCCTCTGTGCCCGAGGACTCTGGGAATCCTCACTCCGGGGGGAGCATGAGCCCAGCCCCCTGAAGCTCAGTCTCTCATTCATCCAGGACCTTGTGTGTCTTACAAATGGGCTGTCATATGAGGACTACGTTCGTCTTTGCAAAAAAAGTAACCATGTATCTGCTTCAAGTCAGAGATATTTTTACTGAAAATATCCTGTTTTAACATTTATTTCACACTTCTGAAAATAACCACCAGTACTGGGAAGAGCAGTTTCTTGCTAATTCCAGAGAAGGCTGAACCTGAGTGCACGAGGGTGGCCCACGCAAAAGACAAGGGCGGCGCTGTTTGCAGGTCTGTGGGGGTAGCCAGGTGCAGGGCAGAGCATCTTTCTTTGCAGCCAAGCCCTCTACTGGGTGTGCAGGTTGAGGACTTGTGCTCTGGAGCAGACTGACCTGGGTTCAAATTCTGATTCCCCCACTGATTAGCTCTGGGACATTAGGCAAGTCACTTTGCCCCTCAGAGCCTCAGCTTCCCCACCTATTAATAGAGGATGGATTAAAATAGTGCCTACCTGAGGATTAAATGAAATACTGCACAACATGTGGTTAGCACAGTTCTGGGCCCATGGTAAGTTTCAATACATGGTAGCCATGAGTTTCCTTTGGTCTTGGTCTCTTCATCTTGAAACAGGAGATTGAAATTTAAAAAACAGACCATTTTTAGCTCTAGCATTCTACAACTGATGACGGGTTCATCTGTACACATGTCTATTTTAAACAGGGAGTTCCAAAAGAGAGGCCAGAGTGTGCTAATACATCCTGACAGAATATACCCCGAGGGTAAAACGTGCCCACGGCACCAAATGAAGGCTCAGCTGAATGATATAATTCTGACATGAGGCAGGCTGACCTCAATAGTTAGGCAATAGATCTCCTCTTGCTTAAGCATCTCTGGTTTCTGACTCAACAATTCCAGGACATTCCTGAGCTTGAACTAAGCAGGTGGATACACAGCGTAGGAATAAAGACCTAAGTGTGCACCCAGGCTCTACCTCTTATTAGCTGTTCGCTCATAAGAAAGTTATTTAGCTCTTCTGAGCCTTAATTTTCTCCTCTATAAAATGGGGAGAAGAGTCATCCCGTCACAGGGTTGCCGGGGAAACTCAATGCAATCAGGCATGTGATATACATCCTGTGGGGCGGCCAACAATAGCTGAGCCCCTACTCTCTGCCAATCACAGTGCTGGACTTGGGGGCTTGTGAAAACGACGGTCCTAACCTCCAGGAACTTAGTCTGGGGGAGATGGCAGATTCATGAATGCACTGGGACCTATCCAGTGCCCACCAGTCCTAGACCCTAAAATCAGCACATCAGGTCTGACAAAGGATTTCTCTGAGAGAGAGCACCTGTCAAAGCCAAAATTTCCAGAATGGTGTGAGAACTTATGGGACCAACATAACAAAGTACCTGAAATCAGGAATGCAGTGAAAATCATGGGCTGTGCAGTCACTATGGTAACACCACGGGGTGCTAAGTGCCCGCCTACAGGCACTACATCTATTAAGGTGGCATGACTGAGTCTGCCTGCAGTAGAAGGGGCAAGCTGGACGGAGGTGGGGACGTAAGAATGAAGGATCTGTAAGAGTTTACCAGGTGGACTTGGGAGTTGGGCAATTGAGTTACTAGTGGGTCCCCAGTGGAGATGAGTCCGTGCAAAGACCCAGGGGCGTGGCCCTAATCCTGGCACCTCAAGTACTTTGGCTCTCCTGCTTCTTCACGTGCATAATTCAGCCTGGACTGTGTGCATTCCAGGGCTCCTGCGTGCAACCAACCCCTTTCTCTCCCACTTAAGGAAGCACACCTGCGTGGAGGGAATGGCAGTGATTTTATTACAGAGGTAATCTGAATGCACTATAATTTACCTTCTTTTTTTTTTTTTTTTTTTTTTAAGCAAAGCCTTCCCAAATGTTGGTACTGATTGTCAGTAACTGATTCCTTGTGACTCATCTGACCACTGCACTCCCCACACGAGGCATTCCCTGCCGAGACTGAGCAGCTGGCTGCAGAAGCTGAAGGGGTGGGCAGAGCCTGGAGAGAGGCTGGGAGGCCCTGCCCTTTCCTGGCGCTGGACCAGGACAGGAGGAAAAGGCAGATGGTCACTCTCAGCCAATCGGCAGAGAGCTCTTATCAGGCCTGTTCTGAGAACTTGGGGGGCAGGTTCTGGTCTTGGAAGACAAAACCTTCCTCTGTGCTCTGGCCCAACAGATTCTTTGCTCTGGGGACATCACTCAGCCAGAGACACTTCTGCAATTAAACACCTCTTCACTCAAGCCTTGGCAGCTCCTAAATCTTTCATTCCGCAACCTCAGAGCCACCTACTCTTTTCCTCATTGTCCGGGCCGCTCAGCCCACAGCACGCCCTTCCCCAGGGGACTGAGGGAGCCATGGCCCCTTATCTGAAGCTGTGCTCACCAGCTTGTTCCCAGCCAGACAGTAACAGGCTGGCCCCAGGCCAGGCCCAGGCCTCTGAGAGCCTGAGTGACGGAGGCCCAGGCAGCTCCCAGCTTCCCTGGCGTCTCGCTTGGGTTTTGTCCCGTCTCTCTCAGGTCTGGCCAGACCTAAGGGCATTTCCATTAGGGTGATGCTTGTGATAAGGCCTGGGCCAAATGGCCCCGCCTGTGGCCCTCTCCTCTGGGGGGGTCCCGTGGCTGCCGCCCTCCCTGCTCCCGTCCACTCTTCCTCACGCTTACACGTCCCCGACCTCCTCCTCCACCTGTGTGCCCTGTGCATGCACGTCAATCAGGTCTGCTAAAGAGGAAGGCTGCAGGGGTCACTTTCTAAGAGGCCAAGGAGAGGACAGCATGGAGCCTCGGCTAGAGCCTGCTCTCAAGGTGGCTCTGGGAGGCCCAGGACACTACTCCTCAGCACAGCCCAGGCACCGCCGTGCACACGCCAGCCCTGCTGCCACGGCGCCATCCTAGGGACTGACCAGAGAAGAACAGGCAGTGAGACCACCAGCTGCCACAGTGAGGCCTTGTCTGAAATGAATCTTTAAAAACCAAAAGGAGTAGACATTTCTAGCTGTTTTCTCTCCTGAGAAAAACATAATCAGCTCAGTTTGTTTTCTCAGTGGATAAAGAGGGGACCATAAAATCATAAAATATTAGAGCTTGTTAGAGGCCTCTCGGATCCCCTGGCATAGCCTTCTTGTCCCAGAGTCTGTCAGTGACAGAGCCAACACTGGTCCCTGGACTTGTAACTTCCAGGATATTAAGGTTCAGAGAGGTTAAGTAACTTAGCCAAGATTACACAGCAAGTAAGTGGCTCAGCCAAGGCTCAAACCCAAGGGTGTCTTAGCCACTCTGGGATACTATACATTCCCATGGAAAGGCTAGGGGGCAACTGGTGTAAAAATCACTCTATAGACGCTTGACTTGACCCCAGGTGCCAGCTGCCTGGGACCTAACTCTCCATCACTATTTCATGTACCAGGTTCCAGACAGCTCCTTGTAAAAGATCTGGTAGATTTGTTAGGTTTGTTATTAGAACTCTTAAGGTTCTGATAACAAAGACATCATTACTGTGAAAATAAGATTAAAAAAAACAGAATTAAGTTAGCCTCATACTACGGAGTTTCTAAAACAACAGAGCTCTCCCACAGAAAACGTAACATGCACCTGACTTCCAGTAAATGGACCCAACTGAAGCTCCCGATAAATCTGATATTTCATTTGTATCAAATCTGGACAAATTGTCTGGAATTACTTCTACTCAGCACTTTTTTTTTTTTTCTGG